ACTTGTTCAAGAAGATTTCTGCAAGTTCATGATGCGGGAGGTTCTTAATCCGAAGAGCTTATTCTATGATCATGACTCGGAGTATGCAACACATCCCAAGTTTGAGTCCCTTCGCCTAAAATGCCTATATCCCTTCTTTTCATTCTTTGGGCAGGAGCACAATTAATGTTGACTTGTAATTTGTAATGTACAAATACTTTGTTGATCATGTGTGTATAACTAGTGCACTACCGTGTATTTATGAAGTTAATTTGAATCATTTGCAATCGGGTATGAAATTTGGTGGGAAAACACGATTTCAAATTTGGCGGGAAATTTCAAATTTGAAAATTTGAAACTGATTTTCAGAAGCGGTTGACAACACCGTCCCTGAAAATACATTTTCAGTGACGGTTGCATTGCCACAACCGTTCTTGAAAAAACATTTTTAGTGACGGTTGCATTGCAGCCGCCGCCCCTGGTAATGCAGTTTTAGGGGCGACTCACGTATTGGAACCGCCCCTAAAAAACATTTTAGAGGCGGTTTGCCTACTGCAACCGCCCCTAAAAATACATTATCAGAGGTGGTTTTCCTAATGAAACCGCCCCTGAAAATGGTATTTTCAGGGGCGGAGATCATAACGTAACCGCCCCTAGAAATACAATTTTCAGAGGCGGTTAAAAGCCCGTCGCTAGAGACGCACCATGTTTACAATCGGTGGCATAGTTGCGGTTGGGCAAACCACCCCTGAAAACCCAATTGAACCACCACTAAAGAAGTATTATGTAGTAGTGGTTAAATCCTAGAATAAATCCAAGAAAATGCAAGCACCCCAATATCAAGTCGAGGACTTGAACCCGGGTGGACAAGTTTCACCACAAGGAACCCAACTAGCTAATCGCATTTTTTTGAAGTTGTATAAAATTCTCTCCAAAGGTTAAAACTTTAGTTAAACAATTTTATCCAATCCATCTCAAATCAAAAATTTTAAACATAGAATTTCCATAGATTTAGCGTTAACACTCATTCGATCATTTCATATATATGAAACACATAAATACTTTTAAAAAAAGAAAATAAACAACTAATTACGGAGTAAGGTGCATGGATGGTCCTCAAATTTGTTTGTGTTTGTCATGTTGGTCCTCATACTCACAAATTACGTCATCTTGGTCATCAAACTTGTCGACGTGTGTCACACGGGTCCTGATGACATGTAAGGGTGTGTTTGGTTCATGTTTTGGATTTGGCCTAGCTAGCCAAAGCTTGGATAGCCAAGTATGACTTATGCAATGCAAGATGCACTTGTTTAGTTGCACTAGCTGTCTAATAATCCCACATTAGAAATTGTGTGTTTGGTTGTCTAGTTTGTCTTGTATATAGAATCACCTCATCTTTTATGCTTGTAAAGTTACCTCTTTGAGACATTTCATCAAATAGATGGTGAGCATCTGAACCGTTGTTGCCAACATGCTCTTTCATCCCCTCTGCCATCGCCACAAGCGTGTGGTGTCACCGTGTCAGTGATATGGACCCAGGGTACCTCACTGCCCGAATAAGAGCCCATTATAACCAGGGTCGGAGGAAGCCAGGGAAGATGAGGGCCAACCAAACATGGACAATGTCATCAGACGTGGTGGACAAGCAACAAGGCATATGGAGCTTGGAAACCGTTTAGAATAAGGAATAGCGGATTCTGTACCTAGATTTCCTTGTAACAAACTAAGAAACCTCTATGTAAACTGAACGCGACCCAAGTTGTAACCTTAACTCCCGTATTAAAAAAGGTGGGGTAGGGAACCCACGATTGGGAACCTAAGACATATTCGGCTACATTGCACAGAAACCTAGACAACTAGTCATCAGCGCCCCTGTAAACACCGGGCATACGGGATAATAGATTTGTTCTCAACTAGACGCAGGGTAGTACCCCGGTACCAGAACTAGTATACACATGTGTCCCATGTGCTTCCCTTTCTGATTTCCTATGAGTGATAGTTGATCTTATTGCTAGAGCCGATATCTTCGACACAACTGTTGATTGCATCAAGGATCTTAGCGACACGTCTGGGCATTACATCGCCGAGGATCTCCAAATTGGCTGGGGCCAGATGACCATCGCATGCTCATTGTCCAAAGCCAGCCAGGCAACAATGCCGGCGGGTCCTCTTCGAGGTCATTGCGAGGCGAGTCCATCGAGGGAGTAGCGGGTGCAGCGGTGCATCCGTGGGGACACCGACACTAGGGAATCCGACTAAGCATCGTACAACATAGAGAGGTGTCGACGTTGGTGGAAGGGAAGAGAAGGGCCTCACGGGTAGCGGAAGCAAACTAAGAGAGGTGAGCAGGGTGGATGTACACGCCGAGGTGGAGTCGTCTGTCGTGGTTGGAGCTAGCGCTGGAGCACATGTGGCGGCGGGAGAGCTAGAGATGCGACATGGCGGTGGGAGCGACGTGGGTGAGGTGAGCAGGACACACTAGAGTGCTAGCCAAACTAGGCTAGCGGGAAACAGCCGCCCCCTGCGCGTTCCCACGTGGCCAGGCTAAGGCGTGGTCGGTGCACATCCTGAGCCAGGCTAAGGGTCCAAAACGAGCAACCAAACAAGCTTAAATTGACTTGCTGGAGCCTGAAGAGGGGTTGGCAAGGCAACCAAACTCTCTAAGTGTCCATTTTTGTACGTGTTTAGCAAAGAAGAAGAAGAAGAAGAAAAAAACCATGTCTAAAAATAGGAGTCTAAGCTCGTCACACTTTTTAGTACACGACGTTCGTTCGTAATAATTGTGTCCTGAACAAGAATTTGGTGAGGAGAGGGTAGGTTGTTGATAGTTCATTCCTGTTGTAAGTCCTAAGTTCTAATCAAACCATTTGTTTATTTTCATAATATAATGGCAATAGAGGTTGATCTATCAACAACCTTATTTTTCGCGAGCTAGTGATTATGAGCCCTAATAATACGAGGAATGATGTGAGATCTCATGTATAGGCCTATAGGGTAGCTAGCTCACATAAGCATGCACCCACAAATGTCCTAATCCCTCGGACTAACAAGCTCACGTACTGCAATCCTCCTCCATGCATGGCCGGCTTCTCCCTAACACCTTGGTGACAATAGACGCACACAAATCTTTATTTTTTTAACAGTAGCTAGGACCTAGGAGGTATGATGTTGACAGATCAAGAAGAAGGCTGGAAGCCAGGCACGGTCCATATATGCATGTTGAGCGGAGTGAGCCCGAAGAGCGTGTGGAGCTTGACTCGATGAACTATGTACCATCTACCATCTAAGACTGACTTCATCAGAGTAGGCATAGCGTGACCCAAACCCAAAATAGGTTGTACATAGTGTTTTAGCGCGATAAAAACAGCCTCCAACAGAGTAGGCAAACACGTGACCCATTTTGTGGTTGATGGGTGGAAGGCGGCGCGATCATCATGATCGCAAATAAGGATCTTCTCTTAAAACAATGTTTCACATATATCTTCTGCGTCTCCACACAGGGCCCACCACCCCGAGATCCGCATTTTATTGCGCATTTTAGGATTAAAATAAATCCGGTCCGGTGAGAGCAGTGCCTCGAGGTCGCCGCACCGGAGGTGAGCAGCCGGCTCAACGCGCGCGCAGCTAAGGCGTGGTCGGTGCACATGGTGGCCGATTTCCTCGCTCTCATGCCCTGATGAGGGGTTGGCAAGGCGGGCTCTGAGCCCATTTTTGTACGTGTTTAGCAAAGGCGAGGGCGACACGTCCTCGTCACTGCTGCGGTCGCCCGTAGGTTGTTGATAGTTCATTCCTGTTGTAAGTCCTACCTTGACGCCGTGTCGCACTCCTCGACGCCTAATAATACGAGGAATGCAGCTAGCTCAACGCCATCGCCAGGCGCCACGTACGACCACCTCCATGCATGGCGAGGGCAACTCTCGCGCGCCTCGCTTCCACCTTCTCTCTCCTCCTCCAGCCGTCTATATTGCATGTTGAGCACGCACGGGCTTGCGCGCGCCATCTACCATCTAAAGACGCAGAGCATGGCGCGTCCCCATCCCCTCTGGCGCCGCTCCCTTCACTCCTCGTTCGAAAGCAGCCCCGGCGATGACAACGCAATAAGGGTCTTTTCTTCGCTCTTCTGCGTCTCTCGGCGCCACCCCAAGAGGTGGGCGCCTTCAGCGCCGGAATCGGGCGTCCACGAGCTTGTGTCGGCGCCGGACGCCGGCAGCGGCGACCGGATCGCCGACCTTGGCGGCGCACTCCTCGGCGCGCGGCATTGTGCGCGCGCCTCCGCGGCGGCGAGCCTGCAGGAGGTGGAGAGCCGCGACGAGGACGGCGGAGGAGCGCGCGGCCCCAGCAAGCGCGCCTTCACTCCCGTTCGAGCAGCCCCAGCGCGTGGCTCTACGGCCGCTGGGTGAGTGGCGCGAGGGCGTCGCCTTGCGTCGGCCGCGCGGCGAAGCGGCCAGCGGCGTGCAGCGAGGCGCGCCGAGGCCTTGGCGCGGGCGGCGTTGCTTGGTGGGCGGCGTTCTGGTTTTCCTTTTGCGTCCTCTGTTGAAAAATGGAAATTTTGGGTGCCTATGGAAATTTTGAGTACCTAGCCATTCTGCTGTGCGCGACCCAATCTATCAAATACGTCTCGTATTTAGGTTGGGGCTGTTGGAGACAGTCTAAGCAAGCGATACCCCACACTAGAGTTGGAGTAGAAGGCATTTGTCTGATCAGTCAGATCACTCACCGTCTATTATGTATCCTAGCTTGTGCAGTTGTGCTAGCTAGCTCTCTGTTGGAAGAAACGCACACGTCTATCTATCCCCCAAGTGCCTCCAATATGATGCTTGCCAAGCACACGACTCCGCGCGCCCGGCCATGTGCATGTACATGCGACGGCGCTCCATATATTCGTGCAACCCTGAGGTCCTTTGCATTGCTCATGTCACTCACTAATCCGTCGAGCTAGCTAGTCGCAGCTAGCTGGTCAGCGGTTGTTGGTTAGCAAGTTAGTAGAAGCCTGCAGTACTGAGCTCCAGCTTACCCGATCGATGGCAGCCACGAACACGACGACGACGACGCTGAGCATGAAGCTCCTCATCGACAGGAAGGCGCAGCGGCTGCTGTTCGCGGAGGCGAGCAAGGACGTGGTGGACTTCCTCTTCTCCCTCCTCGTCCTGCCCGTCGGCGCGGCCGTCAAGCTGCTGGGAAAGGAGGGCGTGGCCGGCTGCGTCGGCAGCCTCTACGGCAGCGTGGAGGGCCTCGACTACACCTACATCCAGCCGGGCGCCGCCAAGGACGCGCTGCTCCGCCCGCCCGTGCTCTGCTCGCTCTACAGCTCCTCCCTTCTCCGCCTGCCGCCGCCGCCGCCATCTGCCGCGGGGCGGCATCCCGCCACCGCCGCCAGGAGCCTGATGCTGTACCGGTGCACCAGCATCTTCAACAGCAGCTGCCGCACCTACATCACCGACGCGTACGGCAAGGAGTGCCCGACCTGCGGCAACCACATGACGGCCGCCGCGCAGTACCTCCCGCCTGCTGGTGGCCAGATGGCCGTCACCGGGTTCGTGCGGGGCGTTGTAACGTACACGGTCATGGACAACCTCACCGTCATGCCCATGTCCGCCATCTCCAGCTTCACGCTGCTCAACGCCTTCGCGGTCACCGACCTCGCCGCGCTGCAGGAGAAGACCGTGCAGCTTGGCTACAATGAGGTGATCGAGTTATTCTTTATTTGGTTTTTTAATTTATGTCTTGTACAGTATATATGAACTTGTAGCTGTAAAAAGTTGACGGGATGAATCGAATTTGCTGCAGGGTTTAGAGATTCTCAGGGCCTCGCTGCAGTCCAAAACCGTCCTGAGTGATGTGTTCCTCCGCAGGAAAGGTCCCGGTGATGATGCTTGAGTGGTGAATGCATATTTGCCATATCGTATTGCATGAAGTTTTTCTTCACTAATTGTTCTTCGCGTGTCTGATGACACTACTATTCACTACTCAGTAATTCAGTATCATTCTACGAGATCATATGTTTTATTTGGCTGTATATGAGTGGAAGTAGATATGGGACGCTGAAATGGTAAAAGAACGGAAACTGATCGTGCGGCTGTGCCACATCCCATGGGGGAAAATCCATGTACATAAACGAGACAATTTATTTGAAGGCATTTTCATCATAACAAAATAAACAATTGTTGCATTTATTTGAATGCATATGGCAGGTATTTGGTTTCTTGAAAAAAAAGATCCTAGAAACATGTGTTTTATTTGTGGTTTCTATAATTAATTTGAGGAATGCCCGAATCTCTGAATCGTTCGACATTGATTCTCTTGTTTCTCTTCATAAATATTTTTTTTTTGATTTGGTAGGGATTCTCCTATTCTTGGAAATACTGTTTTAAAAATCTCTGCCAAACAGGCTAAATGTCTTAATGTAGGTAAAACGGCTATTTAAACGACCCAGTCACCCAGCCAACTCACGCACACACCCAGAGACCCAAAAACACACGCACCCAGGCCACGCAAGACGCTCCCAAACACACGCACCCAACAGGAGACTAGAGAAGAAGACATGCACGATTCTGGTGCCCGGCGACAGACTTCCCGGCAGTGCGTCTCTCCGACCGGGACTGCAGTTCCTCGGGCTTCTCATCCATGGTGCACGCCTCCTTCACCCCTTCTTAGAGCTTGTTCGGCTGGGCTGGTTTTGGCTAGGCTGATAAGCTCAGCCGTTCGGCATCCCAGGTCCAGCTGATCGGCTGACCTAAAAGTCTACCGCCTGGCCGCATTCTGCTCCCTCCTTCATTCTGTTCCTCAGCTCGCTGCGCTGGCTAGGGTTTGCGCTCAGTCGCCCCTCATCCTCTTTTCTCCGCGCGAGCCGCGGCGGTCGTCAACGTCGCTTCGTCGTGCCTGCCCCAGCGGCTTTCAGCGAATCCCTCCCCACCCGCTTCTCTACACCGTGAGGGCGCACCCTCGCCGTGGACACCCTCTGCGGAGACCGTGAGCTTCGCATCCCTCCCAGAACCTGTCGCCATCGACGCTCGTCCGCCGACAACAAGGTAGCCCTGGATCCACGGCCGCCGTCATCCCCCGCGTCCGGATCTGATCCCCACGTGCTCGTGTTTCAGGTTTTCCCCGAGCGCTGCCCATGGATCCACCTTCCAACTCACCGGAATCGCCTCCCGCCTCGCCGGATACGTGCCTCAGTTCCACGCCACAACCTGCCGCCTCGCCGGATCCGGGGACCCAAGGTTCGTTGTCTTCCACCTGCGTCCATGTTCACTTGTTTTTCGTAGTGCAACGCTCTCATTCGGACTATCAGTGATGCTCTCTACTAACGTTGCAGCGATTTCATGCACGTCGAACCACTATTGTTGGACGCTGCCCACACTGGCAGCGTCCTCCACTTCATCGTGCTCGTCACCTGAAGCCAAGCAGTACAATCTCCGTTCAAAACGCGGCAAGCGTTTTGCCAAGGCAAGTCCCCATTTCTTACGCCCTAACTCGGTTGTTTGTAACTCTTAGAACTGCTACATTTTTCTTGTATGCTGGTTACAACAACATCATACCATACATTTTAAACATGGCAACAGATGACCACACCTCGTGCTAACTAGGATGACAACACCACGAGAACCCTTCTGGACCTAGTGATCGAATAGAAAAACCTACTGCACTGGAGCCAGAAAGGCCTAACAACCATCGGATGGTGAAATGTGTATCCAGCCTTCAGAGAGGCAACGGGGTTGGCGTGGGATAAGAAACAGCTGCAGAACAAGTTTAACGAGCTGAAGCGGCACTATTTTCGTTGGCGCGACCTTCAAACCCACACTGGGCAAGGCCGTGATCCGAATACTAGAGGCGTGACAGTTAACCCCTCATTTTTTAGGATGGCAACGGGGTACTAACTTCAACCTAATTTCTTTCTAACCCCTTGACTACCAAGTACTAGGGATGTTCCCATTCTTTTGGTTCTAACATGTGGAGCCATGGCAAACGTGTAGGAAAATAGCCAATCTGCTGAGGAGCGGACCAAAATTCCCCAATGCCTTGACCAACTGATGACTCTTTGGCAAACATTGCTCTCTTCTAGTGGACATCATCGTGAAAGGACACCCAGTACTGCTAGCCATGATACTACACACGACATGTTCCAGGAGCCCGTAGGTGCCCAGAGTGTTGGTCAGTCCTCGAAGAGATCCACTGGGGAACATTCTATCAACAGCCCTCCCAATAAGAAGAGTGCTTCCATTGATGAACTGCCTTGAAGACCTCTCCGACATCATTAAAGACCATAGGAAGCAAAAGGCCCTTACGAGCATGCACGAAGAGCAGATGGACAAAATCGTTAACATTTTGAAAGAAGATGGTTTGCGCGAGTCTGATCTTATGTATGCTCAAGCATTAATTCTTCGCAAGAACACACTGGATCGTAGGAACTTCCTGTCTATGGAAACAAAAGAGGGCCAGCTTAACTTTCTGAAGATCTGTTGGGAGGATAAGACATCTAGAACGAAGTAGAAGTGATCCCAAGCAACGTTTCAGTGGCTTTTTGTATCGTTTGCTTTCAGTTCATGTCCTGTAGTTTTTTCTTGAACCGTTGATTGTTTGATTAAGTTGCATCGCTGTAATGTGGCCTATGGCCTGAACTTTGTGTGTTGTTTTTTTTCGAATCCAAATAAACTGTGTGCTGTGATGTTCATATCTTTGTTGAAGATACATTTCATTTTTCATGTCGATAGTTGAGTATTGCCTCCTCGTTGTGTGGTCTAAATTTCCCTTTCTCCAGGTGTCCATGAGGTGGTGCCTCTAGGAGGCCCAAGATGAGCTAGTTGTTCCAGTCATCAACGAGTTTCGAGGTTTGATTCTTCGCCTATATTTGTGTCCATCTAGTCAGTATCTGCTACTTGATTCCTAAATTGTTGTTAATTGGTGTTCTAGGTTCACCTATAAGTCCAACCAGAGTATCATTATTAATTGGTGTTCTAGGTTCGGCTCCAATTGTAGGTTCGGCCTTTTTCTCTTACTTTGTGTTGTTGTATCAGGAAGTCCTGCACCGTAAACATAGACATAATTTGAAGGTCATAACTCTAGAACTTGTACCGCAGAACCTTAATTGGTCCCCTGAAAGCTCTAGTTTGGTTTTGGTTAATTGATAAAACCCTAAGTGCTAACCTAGTTTGTCAAGGTGATTATGAGATAGGTAGCACTACTTCAAGTGATGAAGCAATGACGAAGATCATGACGATGGTGATAGCATGGTGATGATCAAATGTTTAAACTTGGAAAAGAAGAAAGAGAAAAACAAAAGGCTCAAGGCAAAGGTATAAATTGTAGGAGCCATTTTGTTTTAGTGATCGAGACACTTAGCGAGTGTGATAACATTTAGGATCGATAGCCGTACTATTAAGAGGAGTGAAACTCGTATCGAAATGCGGTTGTCAAAGTGCCACTAGATGCTCTAACTCATTGCATATGTATTTGGGATCTAGTGGAGTGCTAACAACCTTGAAAATATTTGTGAAAATATGCTAACACATGTGCACAAGGTGATACACTTGGTGGTTGGCACATTTGAGCAAGGGTGAAGAAGTTAGAAGTGAAATAGAGTTGGTTGCAATGATGCTGGCGTCGGTCAACTGACTGGACGCTGGGTCGCTCAGTGACCGGACGCTGAAGGACTGCATCCGGTCGGACTGACATGTCGGCACAGTACCTTGGGTATTGCACCGGACGCTGGTCTGTGCCCGGTCGAGGTGGACCGGACGCGTCCGATCGGCAAAAGTCGGTTTTGGGAGCTTACTGGAAACGACCTGACACTGGGGTCTGAGCGTCCGGTCACTTATGCCGGAGCGTTCGGTCAATCAATAGCCGTTGAGATCTGGCGGCTCAGGTTTAACTCAGAATGACATGTGGCTTACATCGAGCGACCGGACACTGGGTCCAGCGTCCGGTTAATATGACCGGAGCGTCCGGTCACCCCGTGTTGTGCCCAGTGAAGGGGTATAACGGCTCTATTTTGAGGGGGCTTCTATTTAAGCCCCATGGCCGGCTCAAGCTCTTACTCTTGGCCATTTTCATTGACATAGCAACCTTGTGAGCTTAGCCAAAGTCCTCTCACTCATCTCCATCATTGATCCATCATCATTGTGAGATTGGGAGAGAATCCAAGTGCATTGCTTGAGTGATTGCATCTAGAAGCACTTGGCATTCGTGTTGCACTGCGGATTTCGCTTGTTTCTCTTGGTGGTTGCCACCACCTAGACGGTTGGAGCAGCGGTGGAGGATTGGCACGAGTTGGTGATTGTTCGTGGCCATCTCCGGTGATTGTAAGGGGAGTTGTACCTTCCCCGGCGGAGTGCCAAAAGGTAACTCTAGTAAATTGCTCGTGTCATTGAGTTACCTCACTTGTGGGTCGGTTCTTGCGGTGTCCTATCGTGTGGACGAGGTTTGTGAAACACCTCTTAGCCGCCGAACCACCAAGTGTTGGTCGACACAACGGGGACATAGCGTGTTGGCAAGCACGTGAACCTCGGGAGAAAATCGATTGTCTCTTGTCTTTGGCATTCTCCCGGTGATTGGCTATATATTCATCTTGTGATTGGTTCATCCTCTACACGGCGGTATAATCACCCTACTCACTTATTTACATTCTTGCAAACTAGTTGATACAAGCTCTTTAGTGTAATTAGAATTGAGAGCTTGCTTTATTATTTACATTCATCTAGTTGAGCTCTTTAGAGTAGCAATTTTGAGAGCTCTTAGTGAGTAGTTACATAGCAAGTTTGTGTGCCTAAGTAATCATTGCAACTAGAATTGTTAAATAGGTGGCTTACAACCCTTGTAGAGCTAGAGCAAGTTTGCATTACGCTATTTGTCATACTAATCAAATTGCTCTAGTTGATTTG